TGTTCTTTTGTCCTAATATACGTATTTGGTATGCTGACATTTCGATTCTTTACATATAATATGTCCGCACGTGTGCATATAATCTTTTTTTAGTGAAGGCTTATATTTTTATTCGCCGAACAGCTTTACCCCTTGACGTCAATCTCCCGAAGAATCAGCTGAACCAGGTACTGGGCACATTATGTAATTGTCCCTGAATTTAAATGTTAGTACATAGGTAAGGTACAATATACGTAGCTGGTTGGTTGGTTGGTTGGTTGGTTGGTTGGTGGCTTATGAGATATTGAAAATCTTGCATGGCCGCACGGTCTAACGGCGGGATCTCTCTACCTGTTAGCATAACTGGTTGGTGCCGAGCCTGGGAGAGCAAACTTAATATTCTCGTATCTTCATGTACATCTATATCTGGCTGGGTCTAGATGATTGGCCAAGATCAATACTCCTATAATTCACTAGCCATATTTGGAGAACAATGCCACATCATTTTACTGCAAGTGGCTTTTAAGACCCACAAGGACCAGTCCAGGCAATGGCGTCAAGGGGTAACCAACTCGAGATCCATTTTCCACTCTTTTAAAGCTGAGACTTGGATTCGTATGCGATTTGTTTCCAATTGCTGCGTACTTACGTAGTTGGGATATATTTGCGAGCTAGAAGGCGATGTTAGGGGCTTAGTTTTAACATAAACATTAGTTAATACGAACTGCCTATTTCTTATTTACATGTATGCATGGCGTTACCATACTTCTTGTTCTAGGTAGGTACCTAATATAGGAAACTATTTTGATATACGCAAATATTTGAATAGATACATCAAATTGAATTTATTGCACAGTACATGTATGTACCAAATTTTGTAACCACATATTGAATTGACCTGTCATGCAGGATGCAGGATGCATTACATATTAGCTAATTCAAGTTCCTATGTCAACTCACTAATTCACCCAATAAGGAATGGCTGCCCCCGGATTACTTTCATTTCGGGAGACCGTGTGGCAGACAGTAGGGGCAGTAGGGGTTACCCGGCCGTTTGTACGGTTATGTACTAACCTAAATAGTAGTGGTAGGGGTTCGGTAAGTCCCTTCTTACACTGTACTACGTAGGTACCTTTCGCAGTACGTAGAAGCAATCTGGCTGGCTCCTGGCTTCCTGGCTCTTTCGACCCTCTCCTTCTGACGATTGAACCCCGGGGTAATCTCAAAATTAAACCTTTGATTGTTCACCTTCTCCTCAACTATCGTACACGTATTTTTGCTGACAAAGTAAAGATTCACTTGTCTATTCCTATTCTCTGTGACCCTGCTGTTAAAGCCAGGTACTCCTTTGGTGATTCATTTCATCGTCCGTTCTTTGCATCTACACCTACACCTAACCTACTAACTTGGTTATTATTCGTACCTATCACTTTTCCCAATCTCTTTCCTTCACCCCTTTCGTCAACTTTCCATCTGATTGTATGCCTCCCTACCACCTACGTACATATTACGCAGTATCGAAAAGAAGACAGTATTTATTTCTTCGCAAACCTACCTATAGTGCATTGCAACCCCAACGACCTAAACAATAAACTCCTGTTCACGCTTACTTCGATCCTCTAAATACGCCGATCCTACATTCCTGTCGCATACCATTCTCTAGGTGGACCTACAAAGCCAACTTAATGTTTTATGCGCTCCAGGGGTATCGCCTTCACAAGCTTCGTTTTCGACTTACGAACACTTATTAAATATTCCGTTGGATTGGGGACTGCGCCTCCTCGGCATTCGGTTACCACCTGAATCCGCTCTAGTCGCCTGGTCTCCAGGCGGATCGGGAGATCCAACACTACGATTCGTCTCGAGGTCAATTACATTTACTGAACATCCATTTTGATACCAATTTCGATAATTTTCGCCTTACTATGGCCAACAGGCCTAATTTCATCGACCTCAGGGCCGATTCCTCGGCCTCGGTCAACAGTAGTGCCTCCCGTCCTCTAAGATCACCGCGATTACATGTCGCTGGGGAGGTTCCTCCCGCCTTATCCCCCCTTGATGCCTTCGCTGCTCAGAGCCGCTTGCTTGCCAAGCAGCTCGAGGACAGCGCCAAAACTGGGAGACGAATGAGCCGTCTGCCCCCGTTGACAACAGAAAGCCCGTTAATTGTTCAAGGTCGTTCCGAATACTTTCGTTCTATGTCCTACGACTCGTCTGAGGAACGACCCGAGACCCCCCAGCAAAATACCGGGCTTGGTTTGACTACAGAGGTGGAATCGCCTTCAGAGCGGCCTGTTTCGATGCACCCTCGAATGAGTCGCATACCTCCCACTCCCGATCAATCGATCCCGGTGCCTCCAAACCCATTTCTCGAAAACGCGCGCGGTCGACACCTTGAAAAGCTCCAGGAGGATGAAGGGATGTATGGTGCGCGGCGAGAAGAATCACCTGGTGATTTGGAAAGTGTAGCGGATAAGGCAACGGACCATAAACCAGCAGAGCATGATATCGAACCCAGAGAGCTTTCGCCCACTAGTACCCGCTTTCCATCATCTCCAGACAAGCTCACCAAAACGACCTCGCATGAATCTGCCGGTTTGGTTCCGCCTAGGACTATCTTCCCCAAGCGCTCTTCAAGTATAATGTCTGCACCTTTGGATGCCAATAATGACGATACCTTGAGTGCTTCTTTCTATTCACAGCCATCCCGAAAGCTTTCATCAGGGAGTAGTTTCTCGGGGCCGGGTCTTGCGTCGCCAATTGCCCACTACCAAAGGTCTCCTTCGATTAGTTCCGAAGCTTCTGCGCCTTTGCCACGTCCTGCTTTCAACTTTTCTCGTCCGCTCAGCCGGACTGGCACGCCAGGCCTAGATCCACCAACCCGACAAGCTTCGTCGGATAGCCAACCATCCTTCGTACTTGCCGATGAGACTGCACACACCCCAGTTAGCATGCACAGCGAGGCCTTCTTAGACAGTCATTTCACGGAGGACGGAAAAGGCGCTCCTTCATATATATATTCTAAATACGCACTGCCGAGGGGTAAGTCATTACAGCGCAACTCGGTTATTTTCCGCGACAATGAGCCGCAGAGGAGTGGTCAAGCGCCACCCTCGCCTCCTACTAGGCCTTCGAGTTCGTCGTCGAGAACGCAAGAAGGCCAACACGCAACCGATTCTCTCCTAGGACGCCCATCCATCGAACGAAGTAAACTTTCCAACGAAATGTCTTTAGAAGGGAGACAGCCGTCACCCGACCCAAGTCGTCCCTCAACTGACACGACTAGACCATCTGAGGATGTGCCTAGAGGGCGCACCCTTACATCTCCACTCCATGACCAAGGTCGAGGGCGAACGCCAATGTCAGTATCCACAAGTGACTCGGCTAGTACCATCAGGCCACCGAGGTCACAGCATTCTCATGCGCCTACAACCTCTGAAATGAGTGCGGAAGAGCATTTAGCAAAGGGCATTAAGTGTCACGAAGAAGGCTCTGTAAAAGAATCTACCTATCACCTGCGATTTGCTGCGCGTGCCGGTGACCCAACTGGTATGCTGCTGTATGCGTTAGCTTGCAGACACGGATGGGGTATGCGAGCGAACCAACGAGAAGGTGTCGAGTGGCTACGGAAGGCTGCCGATGTTGTGAGCGCCGAAATTGCGGAAGACGAGGATCACGCCAAGGAGGGTAAAACAGTAGATTTTATGGATCATAAAACCCGCAAGGCCCAATTTGCGCTAAGCATCTACGAGTTGGGTGTCAGCCATATGAATGGTTGGGGAATCGAGCAGGATAAAGCACTCGCTTTGAGGTGCTTCGAGATTGCCGGCAGTGAGTTAAACCACGAGGAAAATATTTGAGGCGTGATCTAACAAATTTGATAGGTTGGGGTGATGTTGATGCTCTTGCCGAGGCCGGCTTCTGTTATGCTAAAGGCGTAGGCTGCAAGAAAGACCTTAAGAAAAGCGCCAAGTTTTACCGTATGGCGGAGGCGAAGGGCATGAGTATGCCAGGAAATAGCTGGTTAGTTTTCTTTCGGCCGGGTGGCGCAATTCCTTTGACTAATCTCATATTATAGGATACACAAGGCGAAATATAGCGATGATGTTGGCAGTCCGAAATCGAAGCGCGGCCGAAGCAAGTCAAAAAGTCGGGCGATTTTCGGCAAAAAGACATAAGGAGAGGAAAGTAAAACCGGAGGCAGGCTACACGGTTATGATTCGAATCGTTTTAACTTGCTCGGCGTTCGGTGACAGCATCTATCCAACAAAAGCAGCAAAGTACCTTTCCAGTGGCGTGATGATTAGGAGCCAGGTTGTGTCTCTTGTTTACAAACTGCCATTTTACACATAATACCCCCGATTATGAGCCAGTATCGAAAAGAAGAATACTGCCTTGTGTCGGAGTAGTTTGGCGCTAGGGTACAAAGTGCGGGAGGACCGTGTCAATATCTGGGCTACCGTATATATGAAGAGCACTCTAAAAAGGAGTAGGCTCTTAAGAATACCCATGTGCGTTGTATATAACGGCATCCTCTGCACAAGTAGGTTAGGGAGGCGTTGAGGAGCAGATCGCGGATGGCAAGAAAGCCAGATCTAGATAGCCTGAAGTTTTGAGAAAAGGTGTGATGCTGAGAGATGTATGGCCCGCTGAAGAAAGCTGGGTAATTTCTAAGATTTTCAGGCGTTGTTCTCGAGAAGAAGAGCAGGGCGAAATTTTCTCCTGTTGACTCTTATACTATCAAACGTATCTATTCCCATCGCACGACTCGTGCGCAGATCACCAGAGCTCATAGGGTTTTGGCATTTTACATGGCAGTGATGTTTTTGAGCACTGTTCTGTGTGTTTGCTAGTATTTATTCTTTCGCGACTGACGTACTTGAAGATACAATTCTAAAGGATATGAAATTTTAGCTTGGTACGCACCTCATACAGAGAGATGTTATTTGAGAAATTCGCAGTTAAGATAATCTAGCTAATCGAAGATCGCAAAACTTCCTTCTCCAGTCCGCCCCATTACATTAAGGATTACTTCCGTAAGGACCTAGGTCTTCCGTCGTCTTACGAGATCCGTTAGAATGGCTAACCCCTTTCTCAGCAGCGATTTTCTCAAAGACATTAGCCAATCTCTGGAGAGCTTCCTCACCAACCTGGTAGTGTATTATAATACGATTACCATTCAGTTTCAAGCTAGCTTGTTGACCTAACTCAACAAATCTGGACGGGGTGGTGTTTAGGGATTTTAAGTCAAGCCAGACCATGTTCGTCTGGACGGGAACATCTACCTTGCCACCTAGATCCGCCCACATCTTCTCCACGCGCTTGGCCGTCGCGTGTGTGTCTTGTAGTAGTCCACCCTCACCGTTGGGTCCTTTCCCGAAGGTCACGTCGACTGCTACCCTAGCCGCGGCCGTGACGACACCGGATTGACGTAGACCGCCGCCGAGAGCCTTGCGTACCCATCTTGCGTGCTTTATGAGTGGCTTACTACCGACGATTATACTTCCGATTGGAGCACCTAAACCCTTAGAAAAGCACAGGGAGACGGTGTCGAAGTATTGGCAGAAGTCCTGCAGCGACCCGCTGCCGGAGGCGACTACCTCCCATAGCCTGGCACCGTCGCAGTGCATAAGTATGCCGTGCTCCCGCGCAAACTCCGAGATCCTGCGAACCTCATCTAGGGGCGTGACTAGGCCGGCTAGCGAATTTTCAAGGCTGATGACGCGCGTCGGACAGGAGTGCACTTCGTCCCCGAGTGTGACGTTGGACTGGACGTCCTCTAGAGTTAGATAATTACCGTTGCTGGGTACTACGGCCTTGATCATGGCACCGGATAGAGATGCAACACTGTGTATTGCAATAGTCAGCCCCAGGGAGGATATAGCAGCAGACGATGGCGTTTACCCTCCAGCTTCGTATTGGATAATGTGAGAACGGTGGTCAGTCAGCACGCCGTGAGGAGGCTGAGTGAGCAAGGTACGTAAAGCGATTTGATTTCCCATCGTACCAGAAAGGACAAATAGACCAGCCTCTTTGCCTGTTAATGAAGCCACGTGCGCCTCCAGGTCTATGGTGGTCGGGTCTTCTTGAAATACATCATCCAGCAACGTCGTTTTCTGAATGGCAAATAACATAGCTTGAGTTGGAGTTGTCATGGTATCGCCTATATGTGCATGAGAGATAAGTGTATAAGAAGCTGGTTAAAGGGGCAACAACTTACTTCTAAGGTCAAAAGCAGCAGCACCTCTATGGCCAAGCCAGCTGTTGGCCGGTTCGGTTTCGAATTTCTCCATGATAGGCGACGTAGTTTTAGGCGAAGTATGAAGAAATCTAAGATGATTAGTAGGTTGGAATAGGACTGAAGGTAACGGCGGGGTCGCCAAATATTTTATAGTCTGGAGTCGGCGTGTGGACCGGGCGAACCTCGTGCCTCCGGCGAGCGCCGTTTTAAGCAAAGGCTTCCCGAGAACATACATAGTTAATACGGAGTATTGCCTACTTGAGAAGACCCGGATTGCCTATGGGTGTGATTGAGATGAGTGGATATCGCATTACCGTGTAAGTGCGCTAATGTACGGATAGATACATAGCTTCTGGGTCGATTAACCTCACGAAAGCCGGATAAATGGGGTATCGTACTACCAAGTGATACCAGCCGTTGGGGATACCTTAATCAGGTGTTACGCACACAAGCCAACCAATGAAAGTCGGCGTTCTATGGAGAGGATTGGTATATCCACAAAGCAACTCCCCTTTCCAGCTCGCCGGATGACATATATGATGATGACGACGACGACGACGACGACGACGCGGCGATGCAAAATGAACCATCCTGATTCATTATGAGCCATAGTTAATTGAGAATTTACTGCTAGGCCGAGTAGATATTTGGCTGATATTGTCGTTCATTGCGCCCTCCGGTTGGACCTCCGATGGAATGGCGTCTCTAACACCTTTCGGAGCCGGAATTTGCGTTAACAGCACGGGTCTTGAGGTTTTTTTTCGGTATGACTCACCCGGTTACAGAATATTACGGCTCTTATTAATATTAACATTAAAATGTCAGTATTTATCATATTTCTTCATAATAGAGTAAGTCCCACTTCGGCCATCTCACTTGTAGATGTCTAAGGTAGAAACCCCCTATCAGCCACAAGATATGGTTTTAATATGTGTAACAATTTGGTGGTCTTAAAGCTATGAGAATGTTCTTATTTCGTACTATTGTAGTTAAAATTCATGAGCCTTTTCGTGATACACAACATAGGATGCACAGCATAGAACACACCGGAGAGCTTATCCGAACTTGTGTGAAGGCTCTCGCGCCGCTTACACGAACGTCAGACCTTGGTCCAAAACACAATAAATTATTCCGTACCAAGATATATAAACTTAATTTATACGCAACTTATTGGTAAAACATAGGTAACATGGTTAACACGGTTATCTCGCATAGAAGGTGTTCAGGTAGTAGATAGGGGGATGATGTATTTGGGCAGGTGCGTTACCCTGACATGCTATGTACCTCCTAATACGCTAGAGTTTGCTGTTTTGTGAGGAAAGTGTGACCTTACTTACAATTAGGATGTCTATATCGCATTGGTGTGGTTTGAGATGAAAGCTTACAGGAGGCAGTTACATATGGCTTTAGGTGCATCTCAAACCCCCTTAACTAAAACATCGTATCCGAACAGTAAACCACATGTAGTCTTCCTCTCATCATCTACCAAGCACGCGCGTAGAGCGCGTATATACGCGACTGACAACAGGTGCACAACCCTCTTTTTTCTAGGCAACACATCATAATCTAACTGAGTCACTCTCTCATCACTCTCAGTCGCATTGCCTTTTTCTCCATCCGCACCTGTCCTCCTCGCTGTTTATGCTAGTCACTTCTCATAACTCGGGAACTGTGACTCTTTTACTTCTTGTGAAAAGATCGCCAAAACCAATCAAAGGCATAACAAGACTATATTACGAACACGATGAAGTTCTTTACTACCGTCACTGCGGTGGTACTTGGAGCTGCTGCTCGAGTAGCCAATGCTCAAGGCTTCGTTTCCAACTGCACCTGGCAGACTGGCTTCATGTCAGACAATTACCTTGGAATGTACTGCAACAACAACAACTGGGCCGAGTACAGCTACGACTGGACTTGGTAAGTTTTCGCTAATAGGATGTCATTTAGATTACATCTACTAACTCGGAGACTTCGTAAAGGCTCGACACCAACGTCTGCCTTACCAACTACGGTGGCAAGCTCTACCCATACGTCAGGTATGAGACCTTATCCCTGTCTCACATCTTTCTTAGCTTGTTAACATGAATATTGGATAGTGGAAGCTACTGGTCTACCTGCGGCAACTGCGCGGTTCGCGGGAGCAACGTCGACTTCATCCTGACTTGTGATTGCCTCAATGGACAAGGCCGTTTCGCCTCATCTGCCTACGATCTCAGTACGATTGTCCATCTTATATCAATAACAGTATTAATAGTACTAACCCATTATCTAGATCGTGTTATCTGGAATCACGACGGTGTTCTAGGTTGCTTCAACCACATCGGAAACAAGACAGAGAAAGGCCCATTCTAGTCTGGAATACTACTCGACTATGTGATATACGCCAGGCTTCAATTCAGAATACGTGATATCCATGCCCGTATTATCTGTGTGCTGAGAAGTTTCGAGGAACAGGGAGGCCGTGGCGGTGAATTGTCCATATAGCAATACACATATCGTCATCACTTCATATCAGTAATTTGTCAGGGATTCTTTGTTACCCCTGTAGCGCGAACCTGGGGACTATGGGTCTTCATAATCCATACTAACACCGCGAATACCATCAAATTTCCTAGTTCAACCTAACCTAGCCTGTTATTATGAATGACCCACATAGTAAGATACTCTGTAATAAGGCTATAAGGCTACAAGCCAATGCGCAGGGGAAACTATGGATAGTTACGGTTAGTCTCATCCTTCACTGACTATACTAAGTGATAAGTGAAGATCATGTATATATAGATGCCTGTATAGTATATACCGCGTCCTTCATTCCTTACCGTTACTTTTACTTCTCAGTCGCTCCTTTTCTCACGCCTATTGCAGACCTATCTGCGTTTCGCTCGTTAAATTCGCCGTCGCGGTCTAATTGAAAATGATTTTCCCGTCCAAGTTGTCTATCCGGGCCTTTGCGCTTGTAGCTAGCTTTTGTGCCGTGTCCGCGAGACGCTTGCCGAATCTGCATCGTCCGTATATCGCGGCCGCGAACCAGGTCGAGACCTATGTTGAGTCGCGCGCCACTGGTACTGGACCTAAAGGATTCCTTACGCTTGACGATAGCGCGCATGTTGAGGGTTTCCACGCTGCATCCGTACACAGCACTTCCACGGTCGCGGGTGAAAGCTTCAGTGCTTGCTTAGAGGTATGTTTGTCAATTCCCTTCTTGCTTAAATTCTTCGCACACTGAAATTAACTTTATGCTGTAGGACACCACAGCTTCAGTAGCCGATTGTCAGGCCGTCATTGGTGACATCCGAGCCAATAACGGCACTATCAAAGTAGCCGGAGGGTTCTGCTTGAACTGGTGGGAGGGCGGTTGTCTTGGTCGAGTGTGCGGTGGTAAGAACCAGGAGGTGTTCTCGGAAGATTCGCAGTGGATCGCGGACACGATGACTGCCTCGATTCTCGACACGTGTGTCACCGAAGGAAAAGGCGGCGCGGCAGCAGACTGTGTCGATGTCAGTACTACGTGCGGGACGTACAAGCTATCGCTGCAGGCGTACACGGGTATTTAAGCTTGAGGGTGCTCGGTTTACTCGGTAGCGAATATCCTAAATACCTAAGTAGTAGTAAGGGAATGACAATCGTCTTTGATGGTGGAAATATTCGACTTATTATAATAAAGATCGAAGAGGGTAGATCAATATGCGAATAGATGCCTATTTATATATATGTATGACGATGAGTACGAGACAGCAACGCAGTAATAAAGATATAAAACCTATACGCTCTACTTCTTAGCCGCAAGGATTGCCGCCTCAATAGCATCTCCTAGAGTTTTTGTAGTGCCCTTACCGCCCATATCAGCCGTAATAACACTCTGATCCCTCTGCGCGAGCACCGTCTCAATAGCCTGCAAGACCGCCGTAGCAGCATCCTGATATCCGAAATGCTGAAGCAGCATTTGTCCCGCCCATATCATGCCGACGGGGTTCGCAACCCCCTTGCCAGCGATATCGGGCGCACTACCGTGCACCGGCTCGAACAGGCTCGGGAATCGCCGATCCGGGTTGATGTTGGCCGACGGCGCAATCCCGATTGTACCCGTACAGGCTGGCCCGAGGTCGGATAGGATGTCGCCGAATAAGTTACTACCGACGACGACATCAAAGATTTGGGGTCGCTGGACGAAATGAGCAGTTAGGATATCGATGTGGTATTTGTCTACGTTGACGTCGGGGTATTTGCTTGACATCTCGCGGACGCGGGAGTCCCAGTATGGCATAGTGATGCTGATACCATTGCTCTTAGTCGCGCTTGTAAGACGCTTCCGCGGCCGGCTTTGCGCAAGGTCAAATGCGTAACGAAGGACTCTGTCGATACCGGTGCGTGTCATTACTGTTTCTTGGATAACTGTCTCCCTGTCCGTCCCCTCGAAAATCTTTCCTCCGATGCTGCTATATTCGCCTTCCGTATTTTCCCGCACGATCCAGAAGTCGATATCTCCAGGCTTCCGACCGGCCACTATTCATAGCGTTAATAGATCAGACAGTAATGTGATGATAAAAACTTGTAAAGGTAACTCATAGAAGCGTAATACATACGAGGACAATCAACACCAGCTAACAGTCGACACGGACGAAGGTTAATATATTGGTCGAATTCGCGTCTAAACTTCAACAAGCTCCCCCACAACGATACCTCATCCGGCACCAAATCCGGCATGCCAACGGCGCCGAAGTAGATAGCATCAAACCCGCTAAGAGACTCCTTCCAGTCCGATGGCAACATGTCACCATGTTTCTTATAAAAGTCGCAACTAGCAAAATCAAACGTCTGGAAGCTCAACGAGATACCAAACACCTTCGCAGCCGCTTCGAGACATCGGATGCCATATGGCATCACTTCGGTCCCAATACCATCGCCTGGGATGACGGCAATCTTTAACGGGCTGTTGGCCATATTCGTTCGTGAGGATGGTGAAAAGCGTGAGGGGTCGGTCCAAAGGCGGCACAGTTTGCGAATGTCGCTTATTGGTGGAGTAAGAAGAATATAGTAACCAGTGAAGAAGAAGAGGAAGAAAAACGTATCCCCCTTAAGTTTACTTATACTTGTTTACCTCACATCAATGTTAATACCCCGAGCCTTCGGTTAAAAAACAACGTCACTTATTACCGATAACTTGAAAACCCTACACCATATTACTGTCACTACCTACGTAACCTATTTGCGAGCCTCGGTTTAAGTATTTTACTGTCTCATTTTCGTTAACTCTTCTACCTGAGAGAATTAGCTAACCTATCTACTGACACATTTAAAATCCACCAGGATATCTGATCCTATAAGGACTTCATGGTATTTTTATTTTCTTCCCTCATCTCATCCATACTTAACATGAATCTATTTATTCCCTTTTCAACTATGCCTCAATGTTCTCAAATAGAAACGACGGCTGACCAGGGACAGCCTGTTCCGCAATCGGGGACTTGATGTCAACCTCCCCGCCGTGTACCAGGTCGGTTCCCGTCTTGCTGCCCTCGGTTACTAACAAGACGTTGACATCTGATAGCCCTGCCGCTCTCTTTAGACCGGGCACCATGGCCGTGACAGTCTTGGACTCGTCGAAGTCCAATTTACGTTCCACCACAACGTCGATCGACTCTCCGTTACGGAGCCTCTTCTTGAGGAGCTGCACAAATGGCATTGCCTCCTTCACCTTTCCTATCTTAGCAATGCGGCTGCTTAGCTCCTTGTCGGTGCACTTCTGCGTCTTGGTCGCTTCATCCCACGTCTCCCTAATCAGACCGATGCACTCATTCTGCCACTTGGGGAATTCTCGAGTTATGAAAATCGTCAGCTTCTTGGGTTTCTTAGGGTCGAAGTTCATTTGCTTTCCCTTGGCCATCTTCTTTATCTGTGCCGACTCCGCCGACGTAATATTAGACTGTGTCGTGAGAACGTAGGCGCGGGCCGCGCTAAGGCCGGCATTAGCCTCTGGCACTTCGGGCCACCGGGCCACCTGTATCGTCTGGGTTTCGTGAAGTATCTCGAGCCAGATGTACTCGGCCCAGTGCGGTGCAATCGGGGCGAGAGACAGTGCTTGGAGTCTCATGTACTTGAACACCAATTCCTTGTTCAATGGGATTCCAGCCGCCACACAAGCTCCTCTGTACACATCCTTTGCATTTATCAGGTCATAGAAACACGACTTCAGGGCCATCTTGTAGTTCGTATCCTCGTAATGATTCTTTGCCTCCTGCAGTAGCGTGTTCATTTCGTTATCAAAAAGTGCATCTTCGAAGTCATTTAGCTCCGTTCGCAGATCCTGGCTCTTAGCCATCTCTTCGCACCATTCCCTCAGAGTGTGCAGTCGAAGACTAGTGACAGCATCATATTAGTTCGTCTATCGATTAGATACAGTTGATATTCAGGTGACTTACATAGTGTTATCGGCGACGTCCTCGACGAAATTAGAATCTTGAATAGTATCTCCAGCGTCCGCAAGAGCAATACGAGACGCATCCGCGCCGAATTTCTTCACCACTGCAGCCTCGTTAGCAACGTTTGTGAATATCAAATACTTGGCACAGGCTTACCATCATCGAGGGTCATGAAATTGCCAGTGCTCTTAGACATCTTTTCACCATTAAGCTGAAGATGCCCGTTTACTCGAATAGACTTAGGCCAGTACTCCCTAGGGAATAGTGCGATGTGGTTGTATAGGAAAAAGGTAAGGTGGTTGTTGATTAGGTCCTTGCCGCTCGCTCTCAGGTCAAGGGGGTAGAAGTATTCGAATTCGCGGCGCATCGACTCTAGGGTCTCTTTGGGGATTTTCGACTTGGCCAGGATATCATCGGTCAGACTCGTGCGACAAAAGATATAATCCCAAACCTCGTCAGTCATTTGTTCTGGTGAAATGTTGCCGCTGCCTTTCTCCCGTCCGAAGAGGTCACTGTGGAGGAAATGAGCGACGGTATAGTAACTCATATAAATAGTCGAATCACTTAGACTTTCCACTAGGAATTCAGGCGCCCATGGAAGTTTTGAGCCGAGACCGTATGTTCTGGCGCATGCCCATTGCTTGAGCCAATCAAGCACTCCCAAGAATGCGTTGCGCGCGTCGCTCGAGTAAGTGTTGAGACCATCTCCATCCTTGTTCTCGACATAGTTAGTAGCGATTGTGCGCCATGAATCCTCTCCGTAGTCGATATAATACTGTTCCATGAGTGCGACCGTACATTCATCGCCACTCCTGCTGACAACTTTGTTCTCAGGCTCTGCGTATTCGAAGGCAAGGCCAGCTTCAATCAGTTGAGCTCGAACCTTGGGCTTGGCATCTGCTACCTTTTCACCTTTAAAGTCTCCTACTAACATGTGACCCTGGTAGAAACCCTCCTTGTAGGCTATCTCTTTAGCCTCTTTAAGTTGCTTCACATCCTTCGGAGACGCAATCTTCAACTTTTTGACTAGTTCCAGGGCGAGCAAGTCAGAAGTAGGCGTCTGGATAATAGGGATAATATCGAGCTCCGCCCACTCCTTCTGGATCTTGTAATAGTCCGCCTTTTTAGCCAAGTCCGTTATCGTGGCATAATCATCGGGCGAATCCGAAGGCACGCATGTCACTACACCAGTACCTTTGGTCTCAAGTATCGAATCCATGGGAAGTACACGAACTCCATCCTTGTGGAAGCTAAGAGGGGCATTGACCAGTGACCCAATGAGATCCGAGCCATCAATCTCGGTTGCCTTCTTAATAACACCTTCTTGGGCGAATATTTCCTGGTAGGCCATGTTCTTGGCACCTCTTTCTGTCATCACATAGTATTCCCCAGGGGCGGCTTCGTAGACGCCATAGGTAATCTTCGGCGAGACGAAGCAAGCCACTTGTCCATACATGGTCTCCGCTCGTAGGGTTGCCGGTACCAAGTATACTTTAGCACCATCGGGAAGCTTTCCTTGTAGGATTTCTTGAGCCTTGGAGGCAAAGTCGAGTACCCGCATCTTTATTGCCACATATAATTGAGGGTTAACACCCTCTCCTTCGCTGCGGTCGTGGTCCATGCAGGGCTGCCCATCTTTAATTGAGTAGATAGTATGCCGTTTTCCAAACTTAATCTTATCCAACTCCTTCAGTCGGATCATCTGCCAACGAACAAATGCATCGAAGTATGGATTAGCATCCGTTGTGACAAACTGTCTGCGCCAATCGATCCTACTTCCAAAGTTGCTCAGATCGAGCTTGCAGAGAGGTGGGAAATACTCGAGCCAGTAGGCCGGGTCGGCGAAGAGGTGTATTTGTTGGACAGGAATGCCCATGGCTTGCATAATCTGAAATTGGTACTTCATTTTAACGGCCTTCGCGGCAGCCTTGCCCTTCTTTGCGGTAAATTTTGTCACATCCTCCCTCTCCCTCTGGGCCGGCGCGGCAACTGTCTGAGCTACGGGCTCATCTTCCTCTTTGTACTTCTCGAACTCCTGGCCGAACATCCCGATCTCCTTGGCGAGCTTGTCGGCGGACGCTTTGATCGGCAAGCCAGTACAGTGATATCCTTGCGGCCATAGGACATTGATCCCCTTCATACGATTGTAGCCGACATGGAATTCGACCTTACTGAACGAAAAGGCATGGCCCACATGGAGACGCCCATTTGTATAAGGGAAGGCAATTGTTCCGAAGAATTTTGGGAATTTCTCTCGCAACTCGGCGGCGGAGATAGAATGGAGAGGGATATCAGCCGTTGATGGCGCGTCAGCATTGAAAAGTCTTTGGCTTTCCCATTCTTGCTGGTATTTTTTCTCGATCGCGATTAAGGAGTCTCGCTTTTCGGTCCCTCCAGCATATTGTCAGATTCACTACTGGAAAACGAAGTAAGAGGTTGTGTGCTTTACCTTTAAGATCTTTAAGGGTGGCATTCTGAAGCCCTTCCGCAGTCTTAAGTGGATCTGCCATGGTGATATTACCTTATCCCAATACCCTTCAAATATTTGGCGATAAGGTTGCGATGAAGAAAAATACCTGACAATTCTAGTATTGGAAAGTTTCGAGTCATAACTTCGCTGATACGTGGGACGGAGGGGCAGAGGGGTAAGCACCTTTAAAGAAATATCGCAGAGATCTCTAGAAACCTATGCGCTAAACAAAATAATATGCATCTTGGGGTGTTATGTGTATCCACACGCACGTAGGTACTTGGTACTCTACGTATATTCCCTCGTATAGATCTATACATCAACCTTATTTAATGAAATCTACATTATGAGAACCAAAGTTGCCAAGTATTATGGCTGGTATCAATTATTTCTCATATTCTATATTCAAGAGGATACGTTCTCCTCCTATCTCTACACATGCTAAGTTCATTTGTTTCAGGTAACCAGGACTCAGGGGCTAACATAGCTTACAGTCGCATTTGATATTCTAATATTAATATGATCAGTCTACCAATTCGGTATTGCTTGATGGCTTTTTTTTTTAACAAACCCCGGATATAATTCGCCACCATTTCTGCCAGTTTCGATATCTCATCTTTTTTATGCTCAGACCGATGTGGACTTGTTAAAAGGTAGTTACAAGAAATACGAAAGTAGTAGCATAGTTGTGAGGGGGGGGGGGGGACTACAATGGTGATATTAATCCATGCTTTTTGACGTTCATTTTCAAACTTGATCATATCCGCCGAGGACAAGGTAGCCACAAAAGCACCCGGTAAGAAGATTATTGTCAGTACTTGCAGTGTCTTCATGGCTTTAGAACCCGCATCTTTTGATCTCTATACGTATGCGGTCCTGTTGCGACTTCTCTAGGTGCGCCTAGAGGCTCTTTGCAAAAACTCGGTCTCGAAATTTCGTCTTCTCTCCACTTCTGTGGTTTTCATCTTTGTATTGTAAAGCTCTTGACTCAATTTAGCCAAGTACCGATGGTCTGCTTGCGGTTCATCCTCATCTATACTTTTCTCAGGGTT